AATGAACAATTTTTGACCTCACTTTCTCAGTAATATTGCAGCTATCCATTTCTCATCTCCACATACCATTATTCTATCTGTATCGAAGTCTTATATTGCGAAGCCGCGCAATGCAACACACCAAATTAGCTCGCCAATCATGCCGTTAATGCATAAAACCGATGGGCATCAGTCGCAGGTGGCACTTAACTTCGAAACAGATCGATAACTTATCCAACACTAGGTCACGTAACTAAGAAATCTTTCCAGCGATCAATAATGATGATTGTTGATTTTTTATCACTTGGCTGCCCCGACCAGCATTTCAATGCAAATAGCAACATTTTACAGCTGATAGACACAATATTACTGATGTATGTGTTGATTTCATTTTGTTGATTCCGTTCAGATTGAAATCGGAAGATACGCCAGTAAACTAAATTAAACAAATGTCCGGATACCAAATTCCTTTGCAATAACTACTTAAACATCTTAGAAATTCAAAAAAATATAAACTGTCTGTGATAATAAATAATTGCATTTGATTGCTCTGAGGCTCTAGCCCTTTCTGCATCAGGTATCGAAAGCCAAAATGCATTGAAATATCTTAATTCCGGACGATACTAATTTAAAAAAGCCCAAACCGACCTAGTCCCGATCCCATAACGTCTACTTGAGGAAAATGGCCGGAACAGCTCACATAAGGGTATATTTCAAATATGACTTTTGTTTCAATAGACCATCCAAAAGGCAGTTTAGACTGCAGTAATTCCTCCGTAGCAACCGTCCGTTTATTTTTCACCGTGAGAAGAATGCATCCACAACTAATGTTTTGGTTCAGCATAATTTGGAATTACCACTTCGAACGTTTCCTTATTTAGGAAGCCGCATCACTCGGGGGTCACTCAATTCAAAATTTAACGATATATTGCAACCGGGACGGCCAAGAAGGGCAACTAGAAAAAACACCATTTCCATCACAGAGAAGGCTGTGAGGGGGACGGGAGTACTACGTGAAAAACTTTGCCAACGTGTTGGGTAAAAACGGATGTATCGTCAATGCAATCATCCATCCTTATCCGACTAGCTGAGGTGCCATATAATTTTTCTTCAACAGAATTCATTTCTGGCCATTTGGAGTACAGTTTGGGCAACCATCACAGTTACTAAGAGCGAACTTTAAAAACTGCTTTGTCAACAAAAACCTGTGTTGTATATATTTCAAACCTCAGTGCATCATCTTAATACGAGCTATAAGAAAACCATGTAGTTTACACGTGGTTCCACCTCATGTACGGGGTAACTGCTGTGTTTTTCATGTATGCTCATCATCGGGTTGATAGGAAATTTTATAATGGATAGAAAAAAATGGATAGTTCATTAGGTGCTGTAATGAACAAGCATGATTGTTATGCTAAACAGTTTCACAAACCACTGCATGTGAACAGCACTAGAGTGCCGCGAATCACCACGTAAATATTGTTTATGGCGCCATATTCTAACGCTGTTACAACGAGCGACGTCTGTGGCGAAATGATGGCTTCATCAGACAATCATATATTGTGGTCCGTTTCCATGCTTTGTCGAAAAATTTGATACGAAACCAAACTTTTCTGAAAGACCAGTTATGACTCTTTGTCAGCTACTTTATTAGACATTGGTTTTTCTCATTCTGCATGGTGTGCATCATCACAATGTTACCTTTATCAATTTGGTAGGCGGTTAAAACCCTTCAGAAGGACTGTAAACAATTGTTGGATGTATATGAACGGTGTTGTCTGGATGTATATGAACGGTTTCGTGGCAAAAATACATGTATATTTGCATACCAGAGCAAGATTTCTGTTGGTTCGATTTATTGAGTAATGCTGATCCGCTGGCGCTGTCATACAACGAGCGACGTCTGTGGCGAAATGATGGCTTCATCAGACAATCATATATTGTGGTCCGTTTCCATGCTTTGTCGAAAAATTTGATACGAAACCAAACTTTTCTGAAAGACCAGTTATGACTCTTTGTCAGCTACTTTATTAGACATTGGTTTTTCTCATTCTGCATGGTGTGCATCATCACAATGTTACCTTTATCAATTTGGTAGGCGGTTAAAACCCTTCAGAAGGACTGTAAACAATTGTTGGATGTATATGAACGGTGTTGTGCCAGAAGTACATGTATATTTGCGTACCAGCGCAAGATTCCTGTTGGTTTGATTTATTGAGTAATGCTGACCCGCTGACGCTGTCATTTTCGGATATTCAAACACACAAAGAGTCTATTTTTGAGCGAATGACCCAGGAAATTCCTGTGAGGTTTGCGTTAGGACTAGAGTTTTAACGGCTCAATCGTTTATCGTGTAACTTATCTGCACATTTGCTTACCCTGCCAGTTTACACGGAATTTATGATATACCGCCTTCTACGCATCAGTATTTTAGCTGGTCTAGTGAATGCTTGTTCTCTCGTACGATACACGCAGATTTACAGCCATGGATCATCTGTGCGTAGTACGTAGGCGATCTATTCAGCCAAAGGTATACGTGAAAAAATGTAGCATACATTACGCACGTCGGAAATGCATAATGTCCTGTGCTTGTGAACGCATAGTAAACGTATAAGTGTGACTTGGACTGGCCACCTCAAGTTCTGGTACAACATAGCAAATGTTCGCATCTAGCTGATCGAAAGCGCAACTTAAATGTCCACTGAAAGAAGAGAACAGTCTCCTCCCTGTACGCGTAATCTTATCAAAACTTTTCGGTGGTGCTAATATTAACCTGTGAATAACCTGTGATTAAGCATGTATATCAACAGGTTACGTAAAAACACTGAAGTTATTCATTTGACCAAAATCTTCGTCAGGACAGCTGTTCCTACTGTACCTGGTGATCTATAAGACCGCTCTTTCATACTTTTCGTCATGTTGACTGCACTTTCATAAACAACACCTGTTACAAAGACTTTATATTAAAGAGTGTGGATGACACTTAGCTACAAATGTTCCCCAAAACGAATCAAATCTGTTTGGTGGAGTTCCTTGTATTTATTCTTTAAGTCAGATCAGATGCCCCGGAAATACCAATGCATGGCAAACCATTCATCGTTATCCCTACATACTGAACACACGTCAGTGTGGATGATGAATGGTACCACACGTTTCAAAAACCTGGGCAAAAAGCAGGCGGACACCTGACATTTCCCTAGCAGATTGCAAATCACGCGATAAGAGCTGCTCCATCCAATATCAAACATCCGAGTTAATGGTGGGGTTTTGTTTTCCCTCTTTCCTCTGATCAAAATTGTCTTCCAATGACAATTTCCTGTCGGTGCTACTTACGAGTAGTCAGTAATCATATGTAATTCGCCGGCGAGAAATAATTAGTCAACGGCGAAATACTCGTTATTTCACGAAGTGGTGACCTATGCTCGGACCCTTACGGACGTAACTCAAAATAATCTTCTTGAACCGTATTATAACTTGGTGTTTTCCACTAATCCCAAGTCAAATGAACATGCCGTTTTCATTAGTTCGGTGACCGAAATTCACGTCACTATTGAGAATATCCCCAAAACAGAATCGATGCGCTTTCACGTGAAGTAGTGGACATCATCGCTAAGTTTCCTCTTGTCTCTTACCTTGTCTACCACATGAGTGAAGAAAGCCGAACACTTTTACGGTCTGTAGAAGTTTCGGGATTACTGCAAATGAAGTAATGATCTTCGGCTTCACTGTACACAGTGCATTTGCAAAGGAGGCACGACAGGCGGCCTCAGAGTGGTTCACCATGATGTTCTACCACATTATGTGTCTGCAGCTCTTCAGAAAATCCAGGTTGAAAATATTCTGAGTCAGCTAGACACCGATTGCTTGATTGATAGATGCCGACAATTTAGTAAATCATCAACAACGCCATTAGGAAGTAAAAATCATAACGACTCCAACAATACTATTGATTTTTTTAGCCATAAATGTTGGGGTTCCTCTGCGTAAATAATTGTTTATTCCTTTTATTTCGGTGCGGACAGGTTGTTTTTATATCCCATTGTGGACTACTCAGGGAAAAAATCAATAATTGATTTCCGCTTCACCTACTCAAAGTATGACAAGTTTTTGAAGCATGTACCTAAGTCTGTATATACGACTACTGACCTGTCAGTCGCGATTCCATGAAGTTTGTGTTTCGATGGAAGTCAATGACTGACGCATCTTTATTTCAAGACTGAATTTGCTTTAACTTATTCAATCAAATTAATTTTACTAAGCCATTGATAAAGATGTGTGCCTTCGGCTGTCTGCAAGAGGAATTAGCATTTTCAGGGCGCAAATTTCCTTGGTATAGATATCCCAGACAATCCATCTAAAATCTATACATTTGACGAGGCTGTAAGAAGCTTTACTAGATTATTTGACATTAACGAGAAGAAGGTTGTAAGCCACTTGCCAGAAGAATTGACGCGGCATATTTTGAGGCTATTCTGAGCATTTGTTCCAGTTCCAGAAAAAAATATCGCAACTTTCTATCTCTCTATGGATATTCAGTCATATTCCAGCGGTAGTATTGGAGCCGACAAACTAAGCCAATGACTGTAAAAAAAACCAGCTGAAGTTAATTTTCTTCTAGGCTAAACTAAGTGTGTCGTGATAAAAGCTCAAGTTCTGTTTCATACCGAGTGCTAATAAACCTACCGATTGTTGGTTGTGAAGACTATCGAAACCTGGCTACGTGACACAACTGTGTCCCCAAGAAAAAAACGTTCATCTTCCTCGCGGAAAATACTACTGACAACTCTTTGAAACATGAGGCTGCCCTTGAGCAAGCCGTTTCATGGGAGAGTATAAACGGTAGGCCCAGCTGGTATTCGAGTGGGCCTCCTGTTAAAACCAAATCGGTTGGCAACTGACTGCATTCCTCATAATTGTATGAAATTTGATTCAGAGATCGTCCGAGAACAAATCCGTCCCATGAAGATACTTAGTGTTGTCATGTTTTATTTACTCCCTTAGAGCACTGATCTTCCACCTACTTGATCCCGCGCAACTTTACGACCAAATGCCGTTGGATTTGTCCAGTTGTACACATGGTTTGTGTTGAGTATCATATGGAGGTCTCTTGTGCGCTAGGTGGCAACACCGTTCACAGAAAACAAGCTTTGCAAATAACCGTCTTTACAACCCCGAAATGAGGGGGAACTTCCATCGATTTGTTTACGGATTATAGTCGGAACATCTATTCATTTTGGGCATGCAGTAATCATACGCTATTTTTTAGAAAATCAACCCTATCATAGCCGTACTTTAATATTTTATGTTTAATTTTTTATCTACCCGAAGTGGAACACGCCCAAAACTACGGTTTCACACACAGGCTGAGAGAATTCACCCAGTTTTGGACACTTTTCACTGAACGTAGTCCACCAATCTTTATTTGAATGTAGTGCCCCAACCATTCGATACAGTTGTGAAACTTGTTCCCATAGTCACTGCGGGTGAGTCAACTGCTTCGAGACGTATAACCTGATCCCCACATATTCTAAATATATAGGCCATCCAGTGCTGTAGCGCCATATGTGCCGAAGGCCAGCAATTGCGGCCTCTTCGACTTCAAAGGCACCTTTGATTCCATTCTGAGGCAAGATGACCCAAGTGGTTAGAGCGCGGATTTACTAACCGGAAGGTCCGTGGCTTGAACCCGACCTCTGCCTCTCGACTTCACCTGCCTAGGCTTGGGCTCGACGACGAACCTGATACTACTTCGACGGTCCACTTTAGTATACGCTGCACTTATTCTTGACTTGATTGTTGACACAATCTTCCCCACTTTTCTTTAAATTCATCCAATCGCCTAGCAACTGCTTTATCACAAAACAAGTTTTGCTTATGCATTTTAGGTGGTCACTACTCTCTCGGTAGATCAAGGAGCTCTACCGGATGGCGTTGTCCCGGCGTCCGAACCAGTTGGTTATTTCCACGTTTGGCAAACGTTTTTCTTCCCTCAAATCCGCCCAAAACTGATACATCAGATCCCAACCTGGCCCATTATCGTTGGCGTCGTTCTAGGAATTATATTCCTCGCTCTTCTGGTAATACTGCTCTATTGCGTTGGTTTCTTCAAGCGACGAAAGCCGGACTTGCGAAAAGCCAAATTTAGCAAGGGTGGTGCAGATGAATTGGAACGCAACTCGGAAGAAACGCCTGCCAGACAGACTCATTTTGCTGGATTCCAGACCTCAACTACAGATAAGTATGAAAGAGGAGCTAAACGCAAACGCAGGGGTAAACATCGAGGTGAACTGACAATTTTGCATCCAGCAGATTTGGCTGCAGGTCACCAGACCCAGGATGAGCAGCATTTGTTGGATGACTCTTCAGGAAACGTCAATGAAGCCAGCCCCAGGGACTGAAGACTTATCATACCTCGCGGTTAAGAGGGAAGGCAAACTAATAATGCGCCAAGATGCACCACTAGCCTCATGCTTTACTTGGATTACTGAAACTTTCTGTTCAACGGAGGTCTTAGCTAGCTCGCATTGTAATGACAATTTCCTTCATTAAGATGACAATTTCTTCAGAATTACATCTCTTTTTCGTTCGAAATAACGTGCTTAACCTGCCCCTCTTTGCTTTTGGTTATTAGTAGACGATATATTCCACAATTTTCTGGAGTAATCTGCCAAATAAATTCCTCCATTGCTGATCGTCCTCCCTAGCGCAGAACTACTCCCACTCAGTGTGTTTGGAATGACTATTATTTTCGCAAAGCAAATGTTCAGTTTAGGTGTTTTCCTATTTTCATGTTATCACTATCCACCTGTGCTTTCACAGTTAACCCAATGCTGTGTCACCTCGATTATCGCCCCAACCCCGGCCAAACAACCTCTCATCCACACCTATTCACAACGCACACGCTGCTTCTCTTCTGTTGTTGTTGTTTAGCCCGAATGATAAATCACCTGCACATTTTTCAGTATTTTTGCCCATCTCCTTTTCAAATACGACTGTGTGGACGCACGTTCATCACCTAGCTGACACACCCTCCAAAAAGCCCTCTGATTGATCCTCACCTTTTCTAAAGTTATATTTTCTTTACGTGAATCAGTTTGGTGTGGTGGTCAATAAAGTATATGAAGTTACCATTCCTTGCGTCGTGCAATTTGATGGTTAAAGGTGAATTTTACATGATATTTCAATGGCCGCAATAAGACCCACACTGATTACTGTGGCTGCGGGCTGCAAGCTGCGTGGTCTGTAGAGTGTGATTGCCGTAATCCAGATGAGCACCCTAGGGATGATCACCACTGGGTCATCTTTAATCATCAGAAAAAATCAAATTCCTTTGGTAAGGATGATTCAGTCACCAATACTGAAGTTCATTTGACTCATTTCGATTATTAGTACGCCGACTGACCGTAAATAAATGTGAAATCCCATATACGAATGCTTAAGTTAACCCGTCTGGAAGCAGCGTGGCATTGTAAGCCTGTTCCACTGGTGAGCAAATGAGCAATTCCTAACGTACTAGTGTGATGAACAAACTTAGTGAAACCAGCCCGTCATGCCTCATTTTCCACCGCTTTTCTATTCACCCGAAGGTCCACCGAAACCAAAGTCGTGTTCTTACTGACGAGTGAAATGAAATGTTTTGGCTTCACGCCCTGCGGTTCACTGAATGTGTAGGCTGAATGTAAAGGAAATAATCACGTTGCTTGGCTTCTATAATATGAAAAATTGGAGACATTTTCAATCTGACAGGAGGCCGGCTAGATGGCGAATTAGCCCGTGAAAAGTGTATTACGTGCTTCAGTTGCTGTATTCTGCCAGTCAGCTACGGCGCAATCAAACTTAAACAACGAGTCTTTACTCGGGTAAAAACTTGTGTACCTCAGTTGGTAAGAAGTTTTCATTGCCTTTTAAGTGACTGTCGGTAACTGATGTATTTATTGCGTTTACATTGGTTTAACAGTTGAAAAACCCATTGTTCACTGACCAAACACATTCATACTGTTTCAGCTCTTGCATGAGGACCATCTGTCCCGTTATTCTTTCGTAGGCTTATCCCTCACTGATACTCTTTAAGATGTACGTTCTCCTAAAGCACGTTACTTCAGTTGTTCCTCCTAACGACTCCTCCTTGACCTAACTAAAATTTTTGCATTAGATCCTCCAAATCTATGGAGAAACGCTTCTTTTTTAAACATACTATTAAAGAAGACAAAACTTCTGACAGTTCCTCGGTGGTTTATTGCAGAGTTGACCCGACGCCCCACTTAAAGTTGACCGCCGAACGCATCTAGATTCCTACGTAGTCTGAGATAACTCGGTGAGGAGTGCGTCAGCCCGCATGGTAGCTATGCATAAACGAGCCCGGGAATTCATTTTTGTACATGTGAAATCAGCAGCTGACATTATGCTAACATTGGTAGCGTGGTTGGTCCTCACTTTGGCTCTATAGCGTTTCCTGTCACAGGACAGGCCTGTGCACTTCGCGACGACTGGAATGTGAACTCGATGCGTATTGGCCGGAGTTGCTCGGAATTTTAGGCTCACTCCTGGGCCGCAAGACGTTACGAAAGTCATTTAACAATATTTGTAACGCCGTATGCTTTACCGTTGTGGTCACCCTCATAAAATGGGAATTTTCTACCGCCAACCTCTCTGAGCTCGGCCATTTGGGTGACGAACACGGCTTGCTCTGTGACCCTGAAATTTCTCTACCACAAACGCATGCTCTTAATCCAAAATCTTTGGTTGGGGTTCCATCGTATGCAGGTTTATCACATTACTACAAGTGATTCGTTCTAATTTTGTGGCAAGGCTTGACGATCTTTGGCATTAGATAACCAAAACCATCCCATCGAATAATAAAGTGGACTTCAACATTTCCTAAACGTTTGCTATTCTGTAGTCACCACGGTTCTCATCTGACTGCCTTTTGTGATGTGCGTTGACACTCAGCGACAATTATTAAGAGAGGTTTTGTCCTCAAGTATTAATAGGTGCTGAAGAGCGAAGAAGCATTGTGAGGTTGTTTCACCTTTGCTGTGCATCACCATCAGCATGTCTCACGGAACTTCAGACGACCTCAAGCCCACGACTTCTGGATAAATAGCTTAAGCCCTTAATCATTCGGCCATGAGCTACTGACCAATGTTGAGATTAACTCGAACTGACACTTCAAAGTTGCGAGTTCAAGACCCTCTGGTGTTTTGTAAGATTCGCGCTGCTGATGATTCTGACTAAAGTTGGAATGGTGCTACTCTGCTTTTCTGCGTAGTTTGACTTCACTGACAAAATGATATTTTCAGTGAACGTCCCAAATCCATTCACTCCATGAGCAAGCCTTTTTAGTTGAGGTCCCCTATGAAATTTCCAGGGATTTCGGTGTGAAAACACAACCGATAGGCTGTAGATGCGTGTGTACTTCCAAAGGCACAAAGGCATTTAATTCAAACCAGTTTCCGGACGCATGGCCTCAGTCGGGGTCTCTCATAAGGATTTTAAACTGCACGCTCCAGCTTTTGTCCACTGTCTTTGGTTTCAGCACAGTTTTGCCTGTACCTGTAGAACAGGGTGGAATAAGATTTGATTATCCATGAAAATCACAACGTCTGGGACGGAGTTTTTCTTGACCTTTCAACCACAGCAGTTCACCTTTATTGGTAGAACAATCGCAATGACTAAAAACGGAAGAAACAGAAGATTGGCACCTACCGAACCACACTCAACTCTGATCTTAGCGTTGTGTTTTTCCACCAGCGATCGACGCAGATGTCACACACAACACACGAACTGTTTGAAAAATACGTGCTGAACAGGGTTCGTATATCTGAAAAAAACTGGGGTTTGTCTCGTCATTTGCTTGTTTCCCTTTACTGTTATGTGTTTTGCAATACCAAGTTCTTTACAGTGGTAGACTATGTCTTTTCTGTCTGGACAAGGATCTGTACATGCTGAATGCCGTTAACGACCGTCAACCAGGAAAGCTGGTTGTTCCTCTAGTTCGGTCGCACTTTACCGCGTTTTTATGACCATGACCATTTACAAGGAACGCTCGACCATTTTAGATACGAGAATTTGGACGTTATTCATTGTTACTGGATCACTTGACTATCAACTTTAAGTAGTCGTTGTACGGAGATGGAAGTATTGAATTACTGGGATGTTTGTCGAACAACTTTGTAGCTTTTCACACGGGTCTTGTTACTACTACTTGAGTGCTCTGCTTAGCTGCTCCACTTGCAGTTGAAATCAAGATTTTCCCAACGAGTTGAACTTGCAGGGGATTGGAACAAAGCCGTTTGGTCATAGGTCCATCTTCGATCAAGGTGTGCTCACTCAAACATATCACTTGATCGAATATTGACCTAAAGGTGATCCGTCAAACGATGAATCGCCAAGCCACAGTGACGAACGGAGGTCAGGAAAAGGAGAGCAGCTTTAGCGAACTACACTCATTTGTGGTTTTACTTTGATAACAGCCTGCAAACTTCATATGTAAATGTGAGCAGAATGATTGAACTCTCGTGTCGCAGCACGCCAGTGACATCAAAATACCCCTGGATTGTAGGTTCTGGATAAACTGTATGTACTAGGGTTGCCACTCGGTTTCTAGAACAAGACCGATTAGAAGTAACGGTTTTTAACCGTTTCCAGATAGAAATATCTTTTCGTGTGCATAAATTGGATTGCTCAGCGGGATTTCGAGGCATTAAATCATATGGCCTGTAGACTCTGTAACATGATTCGCTAATTTTTGTTCGGTTCGCAGAGTGGTGTGAACAATCTGTAACATTTTCAGGAACTTTAAAAACCAAAAATTTTAAAAACGCATTTAAATGTGGACCGAGTTTTGCATCGTATCAGTTTACTTTCATCAACGATACTTCAACTGGCCTGATGTCCAACTTACCACATTTGTCCTCAATTGTCAACGGAAATGGTTCGTTCTACATACAACAATCACTCAGTTTATTAGAAAACTCTTTGTGTTATATCAGCAACCGATTCAGGGAGACATTTTTTATGGTAAGAAAGTGGTAGAAACCCAAAAATGTCAGCCGTATACGTGATTTTTTCCTAGTTATTATGAAACAAGTGGGTGTTGATGCTACATCGAAATATAACTAACACGTGTAGCGTGGAATGTCAGGAAGCTGGCGGTAATCGATGTTCGCGGGGATTTGGTGACGGCACACGCCAGTTTTGAAATGTTCACATGTGGAGATTAATATTGTTCGAACCACAAGACACACACAGCACACATTCGCACAAGTTGAAAGACGCAGGGGAGAAGACCGGAGCAGAGCAACAATGTGCACGTATTGAAACCGAAATTACAGGCACAATCCAAGTACAGGTAAAATTATGGCTCAAATGCACTTGAAAGGATGTGCAGGCGGGCTACTCTTTCCTACATGGGGCTCGAGGTGATTGTCGGGGTTACCTGTTATACGATGAACATGTGTGTACAGTTCAGTTTCACTTTCGTTACAGACGTGTAGCGTGGGACGTCAGGAAGTCAGCGGTATTCGACGTTCGAGAGGATGTAGCGACGGCACACGTCAGTTCTGAAATGCGCAGATGTAGAGGTTGGTATTACGGAATCCACACGGCACACACAGCACACATTCGCACAGATCGGATGACACAGAAAAGAGCACCGGAGCGTGGCAACGACAAACGTGTATTAAACCGGAGCCGAAACCGTAAGAAGGGGGTACAAAGTCAGGTCAAGGTCAATCAGGGATGGTGTACAAGAGGGTTACTCTCTCTTGCCCGGGGCTCGTGGTAGCTCGTCCGTGATACCTGCAATAGGGGGAGAGAGGGAGAGGCACGTTTAAGGTCATATGAGAGACGTGCAAGCAGATCTAGTCGAGTTTCAAATGCGTTACAGTCGCAAGATTTTATATGGGCGCGATTTTAAACCTTTGAAAATAGCGAAATAAATAATAGTATAAACAAAGTGTCAAACCGACATTTGCTTTTGAAGTAAAACGCTCATGGATGAAAGATTGCACCTTACTGAAGTTTTTGTTTGAGTGTTCTAGACTGGTCAAAGTACAAATTGGTGGCGCATTTCTCTGGAGAAGTTCGGATATTTCCCCAAGTGAGTTCTGCTTGGCCTCTGGGTCTCCCCAAAAAGAACAGCGTTGCAACTGTGTTATTATTCATTGATTCAGAACTCAGCAGATGATTCAAATGACGGAATATTGTTTACGATGATCACCCTATCCAACTGAACATATCCGTCTCACGTGCGCAACGAAACTACACCAGGGGGCGAGGACCGACACCGGAAGTTGGGATCAAACCCGTTTGAAAGGCCAATAAAATGGCTGATGAAGGTGATAGACAGTAGAAAATGTATAAACGTTCCTGTTTTTGGGACGCAGGAAAACAGCAAAAGAACTCTTTTGGTGCTGAAGCACACCTGTGGATCCGGTTCAAGTTGTAATTTTTCGATAAACGATAGTAGGTTAAGGGTGCTGTCATTATGGATAAGGAGACTTAAAATAAAACGTACCCTGTTCAAATGCGTCCACAAGGAAATCAGAATTATCTGCCATGTAGCCAGGAGGGGTAAACCAAGTTTCAGCGATTTCGGGTAGGGAGACAGCAGTGGTGCCAAGTCAGACAGGTCAGAACACTTATGTGTATGTTGTTGCAGTTTGTGGCGGCAAACTTATGCATTGTCTCCATCGCCTTTTCGTCTGACTAAGCTGGAAGGAAGGAATATTGGTACTTCAACGAATATGGTAAAAAGATGTTTGGAATGATTTGGTTCGACTCAGTTGGATCGGAGGATGGGTAGAAATGACGGTATATGGTGAAGTTAGTTTGATCTCAGAAGTTGACGGAGGCAAGACGGAGAAGTGGAAGCATATGTGAGAACCGGTGACAAATGGATAGCAGGTGGGATTGGGTAAAGTGTTTGAGGGTAGACAAGGAAATACAGAGTTTGCTGCGACCAACATGTGTAGAAGGGACGGATAGTTGTGTAACTCGGGCCAACAAGAATTTGCTAGGTTTGTGAGTTCTTCCAGCTAAGGCCGTCAAGCTTTAGTTTGGAAACGCCTTAGTCAAGCAAATTTCAACACCACCATATACGGATTTTCTCGATCACAACTTGTCACACCGCTTTTCCATCGCTTGTATTTTACTCTAGTTGTTATCCCAAAACCTGAAGTGCTTGAATCGTGGTAAACTGATCGTTGTAGCTGCGGAACACTTTCATTTGGGTTGACTCGTACAGAACTTTACAAAAACGGCAAGTCCCTTAAAACCATAGGCAGCATCAACTGGTACATCTTGTAGTATTTTTCTGACTATTACCATGACCGCTCACTCATCAGGAAGAGACAATGGTTGGTATCAATCAATAATGCTCGCTAGCCGGAAGTAAATACTGTCATTAAAACAATTGAAACTGAAGGTACTTGGTTTCTGTCTGTAAAAGAGCAAGTTGATGCCATCCCCAGGTGACTGACCATACAACACAGCATTTTCTCGAGGAGCGCGAACTTCCATGCTAAGTGAAATCCGCGAGCTTCGGTCTGGTGCTCATTGCGGGCAAAAAA